CTAGTTAAATTTATCAACTTATACAAATCCTTTGGGTCATGGGAAATTTTGGGATGAGCTACTGCAAGTGGTTGTCTTTTTGCCTATGCGGTTCTCGCTGAGACGCAGATAACGTGCGTAATTCGATATTTTTCATGACAATTTCTTCGTGGATTTCTGTCACCAACTTTTTAATTTTCTCAATTTTTAAATTCTCTGCCAATCGACGTTATTTATTATACACTTTGATGATCAGCACCTCCTCATTGCAGTGCTGCGTCAACGAGTGAGTCCGCTAAGCACAAGCGGTCTGAAGGACGGACAGCAGCAGCTAGTGAAAAGCGATCTATCTATCGTCACGTCAGAGACCCAGTCACCGTCGTTTACTCGCCGCGAGTCGCGTTCATCGCCAGCGTCACCACGCCAGCAAATGGCAGATGGTTTATCGCCTGCCGACGAATGCGTCGGTCGCGCAGCGACGCCTTCACAGCAAGAAGGCGGTGGCATGTGTTTACGAAGGTGGGTGTGCTCGATCCACAGAGGTTAAATCAGCAATTTTAAACTTGTTTCAAACCTTTGTTCCTTTCTAGAGTAAACTTTCCACAAGAATATATTCAAACTTGGTTGTGATTTGAACAATGAAATGTGCTATGATTACACTTAGTGGAATAAATAATTGTTCCAACTTTGAGCAGCATGCTCACCATTTATTGTTGAAAGCGAAACATGAAAGCCTGAAAATCCGACTTTTTCCGATACAAGAGCAACATCCTTTTTAGCTCTAGGTACGCATTGCGACGGCGACGTTCGATACAGCAAAAAGATGAAGAAGGCTGCGCCACGAGTAGTCTCGCTGCAACTGCTGACGAGGTATCATATTGAAATGTTTATTCTAAATGAAAAATTACTCGATTTTAATTCCTACAATTCTTACAACTCACAATCACAGTATTTTTCAACTCCTTCCGTTCATCATTTTTTTTTTTGAGTGGAAGACCTCGCTTCGATTTGTCAATGCTTGATGAACATATGAGGGATTTTGAAGATAAACCATCTCCAAAAATCTTCCAGTTATCGCTTTGACTCTCGACTTGCGCAGTGGCGTTTTAGCGACCGGCAAATCCGCCTGTTGTGTGTTAAGTTAATTGAAAACAGTCTGTGGAGGAGCGCATCATTATTTGCTTGAAATTCTCGTGCGAAACGTAAGGATGCATGTACAGAGTGAAAGTTCGTTTGAGGCCAGACAGGCTAATTTTTTGATACTTTCCTTTTTATGTCCACTGTGAGAATAAAAGTTGTTTGGAGTATGAGAGGATTCGCGAAGTTGTTTTCAATTTGAATGTCTCCGTATCTCGTTACGATAGGCTTCCCTACTTTTATTGTATTGAAATGTTGAATTGAAAGGTCGAGATGTATAATGGTCCCATTTATATCTTTTTTTTACTGAAGCTTTTTAGTTTTGACACATCTGTTTATTCATACCTGTGCCTTCCTGCGTGTAATAATGTCATTTTTTTGCTTTTAGACCGTACAACCATGCAAGAGATTCAAACCTGAGTCACCTGGAGAAGCACGAAAAAAGTTTGTTTGCTATAGCTTATTAATTTATCTGTTTTTATCCAGCTCATCTTTCCTCTAAATCCTTTGATCTGATATGCAAATTGTTCCAAAATCTGAGTGAATTCATAGATTAGTGAATCCATAAATTTGTAGTCCTCCATCTTATGCTTCGTCATATCATCACATCTTATAGTTACAGCAGCATAACGACAGATCACCTGGAACCTCCTCCTAATGGAGCGTGTTACGTTGACCGTTTGCCCGATGAAATTGTATTAAAGGTATATTTCAGTCTGTGTAAAATCGTTTTTCTCAGTTCTTTCGTTCATATATAAAATTCAGATTTTCTCAAATTTATACGAGGCGGATTTGGCTCGCTGCGCTGGTGTTTCAGGACGCTTCTATCGGATATCAAATGACGCTAATTTATGGTTTGTCTTTTTTT